GCACTCCAGTCTGGGCGACAGAGTGAGACTCCAACTCAAAAAAAAAAAAAGAAAAGAAATGCTTTCTTTTTTAATTTGGTAAACTCCAAGATACGGTGCTATGACCTGACACATGATCATTATGAGAAAGTACCAATTTCTATTAAGCATGTTTCTGGGACTTTTTTATTTTTATTTTTTTACATTTTTTTCACTGCAGATTAGATGAGTGATCATCAGGTTTGACATACAGAGAAAAAAGGCCAGACAAGGACATTTTCTGATGACAAGGGAAGTCTCTATCCTATGACAAGAGACAACACCAACATTGTCAAGAGCATGAATTTGGGAGCCAGACTGCCTTGGCTTAGATTCCTACTCTGCTGTTTGCTGGCTTTTGTGACCTGGAATAAGTTACATGGCCCTCTATGCTTCAATTTTTCATCTGTAAAGTGGGGATAATGATAGTATAATACCTTCTTCACAGGATTTTATAAGAATGAAATTAGTAATGAACTAGAGCACTTAAAACAGCATCTGGACAGAGTAAGCCCTCTATGAGAAATATTTACTACTACTATTTTGTTGTTGTTGTTGTTGTTGTTGCTGACTTACTCATTCTCTCAGTGATTATGTATATAAGAATTGTGTTAGACGGCCCAATGGCTCAGCCTGTAATCCCAGCACTTTGGGAGACCAAGGCAAGAGGGTTGCCTGAGCCTGGGGGGTTCGAGTCATCCTGGCCAACTTGGCAAGACCTCATCTCTACATAAATCAAAAAATTAGCCAGGTGTGGTAGCGTGCGCCTATAGTTCCAGCTACTTGGAAGGCTGAGGTGGACGGATCACCTGAGCCCAGCAGGTCGAGGTTGTGGTAACTGTGAGCATGGCACTGCACTCCAGCCTGGGCAACAGAGTGAGACTCCAAATGAAAAAAAAAAATTGTCCCCAAATAATCAGCTCAGGAAAATGTCAGAGCTGAACCAATTCATACCCACCATCTTCTATTCAGTAGATGGAACCAGAAATATGTTGAGTCCACTCAGTGCTCAGCATAGGGTACCTTGTGGTAGACAAGAATCTGTAGCTTATGAACTCATGGAATGGAGAGACAAATAAACAGGTAGTTACAATAGAGCAGGAACCCAAAAGTGAGGACAAAGGGACACATTGTAGGATGCTTTAGAACCTCCTTAGAGAGAGCCTAACCCAGACCTAGAGCAATCAAGGAGGTCTCCTGATGGAGGTGATATCTAAGCAGAAGCCAAACCACTGAGAGACAGAGAAGGAAGAGGAGGGGGAATATGTATCAGGAGCAGAGAACGGTGCTAAGCACTTCACCTCACTTTCACTCTTACCTTATGAGAGAGGTATTACGATTGCCACCATTTTACAGATGAGAAAACTGAGGCTCAGAGAAGTTAAGTTATTTGACCAAGGCCACGTAGCCAACAAATGGCAAAGCTAAGATTTTAACCTAGACAGTGCAAAGAGCATGTGTACTTAAGCAGAATTTTGCAAGGTAGCAGATGGTGGCACGAGAAGCAAGTGGGACAACTCCAGACTGAAGAGGTGACATGTGATGGTGTGTTCGTTTGCTGGGGCTGCCATAATAACATACCAGACTGTGTGGATTAAAAAACAGAAATGTATTTTCTCACAGTTCTGGAGGCTGGAAGGCCAAGGTCAAGGTGCTGCCAGGGATGATTTCTCCCGAGGCCTCCCTCCATGGTCTTCACATGGTCTTTTTTCTGGGTGCACAGCTGTGGTGTCTCTTTGCGTATCCAAATTTCCTCTTCTTTTTTTTTTTTTGAGTTGTACTCTCA